GGGGGGGTAGTGAGGTCGGGCGGCAGTGTGGGAGGGAGGGAGGGAGGGAGGGAGGGGTGGAAGGGGGGGGAAGGGAGGGACGGACCGAAGGAAGGAACTTTGGCAGGAGGAGGAGGAGGAGGAGGAAGAGGAGGGGGAGGGGGCTAAGGGCGGAACAGGAGGAGGAGGAGGAAGCAGGAGGAGGGACGGAAGAGGAGGAGGAGGATGATGATAAAATGATGAGATGATGAGGAGGAGGAGGAGGAGGGACGACGAGGAGGAGGAGGATAATGATGAGGAGGATAAGGGGGGGTAGTGAGGTCGGGCGGCAGTGTGGGAGGGAGGGAGGGAGGGAGGGAGGGGTGGAAGGGGGGGGAAGGGAGGGACGGACCGAAGGAAGGAACTTTGGCAGGAGGAGGAGGAGGAGGAGGAAGAGGAGGGGGAGGGGGATAAGGTGGAACAGGAGGAGGAGGAGCAGGAGGAGGAGGAAGAGGCGGAGGAACATGGAGCAGCAGGAGGAAGAGGACGAAAACGACAAGGATGAGAAACATGAGAAGGATGAGGAGGAGGAAGAGGAAAAGGAGGAGGAGGAGAAACATAAGGAGAAAACGGGAGGAGGGGGGGGAAAGAAAATGAAGATGGGGAGGGGGAGGAGGACGGTGACGATGAGGATGAGGGTGAGGGTGATGATGGTGTTGATGATGAAAGTGAAGATGTTTCTGATGATGATGGTGCTGGTGATGATGACGAAGGTTATGGTATAGATGACTATGATGTGGATGATGACGATGATGATGATGCTGCTGCTGCTGCTGAGGAGGAGGAGGAGGAGGAAGAGGAGGAGGAATAATAATTAGAGGAGGAAGTGGAGGGACGAGGAGGAGAACGGAGAGGAAAAGGAGGAGGAGGACGGCGAGGAGAAGGAGGAGGAGCAGGAGGAGGAGGAGGAGGAGCAAGAGGAGGAGGGGGGGAGGGAGGAGGAGGAGGAGGAGGGGAAGGAGGAGGACGAGGAGAGGAGGAGGAGGAGGAAGAGGAGGAGGGGACGAGGAAGAGGAAGAGGAGGAGGACGAGCAGGAGGAGGAGCAGGAGCAGGAGCAGGAGCAGGAGCAGGAGCAGGAGGAGGAGGAGGAGGAGGAGGAGGAGGAGGAGGAGGAGGAGGAGGAGCGAACGTCGGTCCGCGGGTTTCCGCGCGGCCTCCGCGCCCGCACGCCGCGCGCCCCCGCGCGGCGGCGGGCCCTGCGCGGGGTGGCCGGTCACCGCCTGAGGTGCCAGGCCTCCCGACCGTGAGCGCGACGTCGAAGCCATCGCCCACTGATCACTGCGGGTCGCGGGGCATGCAGATGCCGACGAGCACCGGCATGCGCAGGAGGGGCAGGCGGCTCCACGACGTTGCGCTGGTGGCTCCCCCGCGCGCAGGGCAGGCCGTAGCGCTCCAGCAGACGGAAGACGTCTTAGCGGAGCCTGCCTAGCTCCGCGCCGCCGTCCTGGTCCTTGCCCGCGCCTCCCTTGCCCGAGCCCTTGTGCTCGCCGCCGCCGCAGCGGCCTGTGCCGCCCGCGAGGCGTCCGCGCTGTGCCACGGGCAGGTCGTCCGCCCAGTCGTCGGGCGGCAGCGGCTCAGGAGCCGCGACGGGCACCATCGCCGCGCTTCCCCCACCCCCCCGACGTCGACCATCTGCTCGTCCGAATTGGCGTCCTTCGCGCGCATGCCAGGGCCTGCCGCGCCACCGCGCCCGCGAGGACGCCGCCGCCTCTCGAGGTTGCCGCCCGACGGCCAAGCCGCGGCGTGTGTCGCGAGGCCCGCGCCACGCGCAGCCTCCCGAGACGCCTTCGCTGCGCGGGGCAGGCATCCATGTCCACGGTACCAAACGTCGGGGAGTGACCCTGGGAAAAAGTGACCTCTGGTGCGCGGTTTTTTGCGGGCCGCGGAGGGACCAAACCTGGGCGCACAAGCCGCTGCTCCTGCTTCGTTTTCGGCCACCTGGGGACCCATCTGTGCCCGCACCAAAGGTCACTCCGGCGAAAAGGTCACTCTCACGTCTAATCGAACACCGTGCGGCCCAAGCCGCGATGCGCGATTCTATTCGCGCCCCACCGGGCGACGTCGAGTATCGCGCTGCCGGGGACCTTCTCTGGGCCTCTGCGAGGCCTCCTTCGTTGCCGCGGCCGGACCCCCGTCGTTGCGAGGCACCTGCGCCCACTCCTCAGGAGGGACGGGGGACGAGGGAGGAGGAGGAGGAGGCGGAGGAGGAGGAGGAGGAGGGAGGAGGAGGAGGAGGAGGAGGAGGAGGAGGAGAAGGAGGAGGGAGGAGGAGGAGGAGGAGGAGGAGGAGGAGGACGAAAGAGGAGGAGGCACGAGGAGGAGGGAGGAGAAGGAGGAGGACGAGGGACCGGTGTAAACCCAAGAATCACCAACGATGTATAAACCCTCCCTCCAAGCTCCCTCTTCGTAGGTCCCTACAACGGTTCATTTCCACTGAGGGAACTGCCTCGTTGGAAGACAACTGTTTGAAAAGCCTGAAGCGTGCCACAACATTGTCCTCGGGACTCCAACGCCGCAGACCAACCTGATTACTGCGTCTTGACGATCCGGCATCGTGACAGAACGCAAATCCTGGGACTTCAACGTCGCGAACCAAAGTTAACTGCTGCACCCTCATGTTCCTGAATCTTTTTACCTAACAGCGAAGACTGATAGGTTTCTATCTAGTGGGGTCAAAAGAGAGCATCATGACTCCTCAGGGGGGTCGGGGCGGGACCCGGGGCGGGACCCGGCGCGGCTGCCGTCGAAGCCCAAATCGCCTGGGACATCCTCGCAAAATCGCTCTTGGCGTTGCTAGATCTCCATTCCCGGCGTACATTTTGGATGCCCGGAGCCAACTGTAGGCCACTTCGTGGTCTTCGAGTTCCCAGAACTCCATTCCCGGCACATTTTGGATGCCCGGAGCCAACTGTAGGCCACTTCGTGGTCTTCGAGTTCCCAGAACTCCATTCCCGGGCCACATTTTGGATGCCCGGAGCCAACTGTAGCCACTTCGTGCTCTTCGAATTCCCAGAACTCCATTCCCGGGCCACATTTTGAATGCCCGGAGCCAACTGTAGGCCACTTCGTGCTCTTCAAGTTCCCAGAACTCCATTCCTGGGCATGATTTTGAATGCCCGGAGCCAACTGTAGGCCACCTCGTGTTCTTCTAGTTCCCAGAACTCCATTCCTGGGCCACATTTTGAATGCTGAGGCAGGCTGATGCTGCGGCCGAGGCAGGCTGAGGCTGAGGCAGGCTGAGGCTGAGGCCGAGGCTGAAGGCAGACTGAGGCTGAGGCTGAAGCAGACTGAGGCTGAGGCTGAGGCAGGCTGAGGCTGAGGCTGAGGCAGGCTGATGCTGCAGGCTGAGGCTGAGGCTGAGGCTGATGCAGGCTGAGGCTGAGGCAGGCTGAGGCTGAGGCCGAGGCTGAAGGCAGACTGAGGCTGAGGCTGAAGCAGGCTGAGGCTGAGGCTGAGGCAGGCTGAGGCTGAGGCAGGCTGAGGCTGAGGCAGGCTGAGGCTGAGGCTGTGACTGCGACTGCCGTTGCCACTGCGACTGTCATCGCGAATGCGACTACGACTGCGAGAACAGCAGAATTCTACAACTGGATTCTCATCTGAATCTTAAGGGGAATGCTTCCAGATATGCTCCTACACATCGCTGTTAGGTTGCTTTGCCGGGATAATTGAAACACCATTTCTGTTGATTTGGTTTACCCTGGGAACCAATGAAACTGATGCACATTTTGAAACACTTGCGCGGCGCTAAGGCGGGAACCACATTTTGAAAAGGAACCGCCCTCAATCCGTCAAGCTCTTGCACATTTCTGGAACGAATGTGCGCGGCGCTGAGGCGAGAGCCACATTTTGAAAACGACCCGCCCTCCAAATGCGGAACTGTTGCAAATGTGAAACGAATGTGCGCGGCGCTAAAGCGAGAACCACATTCTTAAAACCAACCGCCCTCAGTCCGTTGAGCTCTTGCAAGTGTTTGAAATGTATGTGCGCGGCGCTAAGGCGAGAACCACACTTTGAAAACGACCCGCCCTCGATCCATGAAACTCTTGCAAGTGTAGAAAACGAATGAGCGCGGCGCTAAAGGCGAGAACTACATTTTGACAACGACCCGCCCTCTATTTGTGAAACCGTTGCCAATGTTTTATACTTCGCGGTCATAAATGGTGAGGACGTCTCAAGCGAAACACCCGGCCCGCCCTTTCGACCGGCCTCGCGGTGCGACAGGGAGAGGCTATCTGTAAGAAAAAGGAATAGAGGAGGAGGAGGAGGAGGAGGAGGAGGAGAAGGAGGAGGACGACGACGACGAGGAGCAGGAGGAGGAGGAGGAGGAGCAGGAGCAGGACGGGGAGGAGCAGAAACAAAATGTGGCCTCGGGCGCGTTCTGACCAGAGCTCCGAGTTGAATCCAGCGGTGGCGACGAGAGGCCTCCAGGGAGTCCCGCAAGAAGGTCGAATGGCGCGCGATAGCGTGTCAAGAGCCCAAGACCTCCAAAACCTGTTTTGGATTGCATTCTGAAATCGACCCGGATCGGAAATTCGGATCGGATTGCCGGCGAATCGTCCCGAATCGGATCGACATCGGATCGCAACGCCCCACTCCGGCTGGCCGATGCTGGTGGATCGAGTCGGTTCGAATCGAAACGAATCGAATACGAATCGCGGGCCCAGTCCGCGAATCACACCGCATCGGTTCGGATCGTAGGCGTCCCATGCCTTCTCGAACGCCCCGAGGTTCAGCAGCAGGTCCAGGGTGCCGGGGAGCAGGACGGTCAGGCCCTTCACCAGGATGGACTCCTCGCCCACGCCCACCTCCGGGCGCCGAGAGGCAAGGTGGCCTCTCTGAAGGGGCCCCAGGACATACAGTCCGGTAACTGGTTACCAGTATCTCTAGTTCGCGCGCGCGCGGGGCGGCCCCTGGGGGTCCCCGGACGAAAAGTACCCCGGGCGATCCCCGACCGACCCCCGAGCGATCCCCGGGAGACTCCCCCAGAGCGCTCCAGGAGCGCTCCAGGAGCGCACCAACAGGGCTCCGAGACGTCCCCGAAACCCTCAAGACGGGTCCAGATGCCCCCAAGAGGCTCCCAAGATGGTACACAAGGGTTCCGAGATGCCACATGATCGCTCCAAGACGCCCAAGATGGCCCCCAGACGCCCCAAGAGGCCTCCAAGAGCACTCCCAAAAGGGCCCCAAGAAGCAAAATTCATAGCTTTTCCTTAGGTTTTTGAGAGATTTTGGAGCTTCCACCTTTTCGGCTTCCCGACGCCCCAAGACGGCCCAAGAGGCCCCCAAGATCGCCCCAAGAGGGCCCAAGAGGCCCCCAAGAGGGCCCCAAGATGGCCCAAGAGGGCTCGAAGACGGCCCAAGAAGCCTCCAAGACGGTCCAAGAGGGCCCCAAGAACGCCCCCAAGGGGGCCCCAGAGAGGGAACACGAAACAACATTTCGAGCCCTCGGCCCTAAGAAGCCCCCACGAGGCCCCCCCTAAGAGGCCCCCACGAGGCCCTCAGGAGGCCCCCAAGAGTCCCCCAAGCGGCCCCAGGAGGCCCCCCAAATGCCCCCCCGAGCGCCCCAGGAGTCCCCCAAGCGGCCCCAGGAACCCCCAAAGCGCAGCATTGACACCAGGCCCTCGAGCAAACGGCAGACATGAGACTGTATGGGCCGGCGGAATGAGCGAAGCGATTAAATAAATACACACACATAAAAAGATTCCCCATATTTTTTCCGATATTTTCTGGGTTTTTGTCTTCCCATACAATTCCCATATTTTCCCATATTTTCTGAGGAATCGACGAGTGTCTGTGTGTTTATCTCCCTCCTGACTCTCGCACGATGGCACAGCGGCCCTACGCGCCAGCCGAGGCGAGGCGCCAGCGCGGCACGCTGCGCGGGGACGGAGGCGCTCCCGCGCGACCCCACGCGCCAGCGTCCGCGCCGTCGACCCCGCTTCCTTCCGTCGCTCCCCTGGGCGAGGAGGGAGACGTGGCCCTTCGCGCGACAGCGCGGCGGCCAGGCGCGGCAGCCTTGGGCGGGCCGCCCGCACGGCACACCGCCCGTAACCGAGCTCGAGCTCATCCCTATCCCTGAGATCGGCGTGCCCGAAGCGATGGCAATCTTGGGGATGCGGCCTCGGAAAGTGGGCGCGTCCTCAGGAGCGGCACCGAGAAAAGGTGAGTATGAATTTTGGGGATAAGGATATGTCTAAGGCTGGGAAGCGTGGCAAAAATGGGCACGACACCCAACAGCAAATGTTGCCAGAAACCGACAGCAACCGTTGTTGGGCAGGGCGACTTGATGTCCCAGGTGGACACCGTCCCCTGGACAGGAACTGCTGCAAGTCTTCGTCCCGTTCTGTCTGTCCATGCCCATTTCGTTCGGTTGTACGGCTCTGGAGGAGGAGGAGGAGGAGGTGGAGGAGGTGGAGGAGGAGCCGGAACCCAAACTGACTCGTCGAAGAGATGCCGGAGACGCCAGGAAAATCTGAACAACGAAGGACCATGCCACCGAAACCGAATCGGGGCGGCCGATGGAGAAAGCCAGTAGGCATGGCCCCAATGGGCCGCATGTGTGGCGCTACGCTGCGCAGAACGCATGGCTTCCCAGCCACCGCTAGCCGAGCGGCGGGGACTCACCAAGCACCTCCTGCGGCGGAGGAGGAGGGGGAGGAGGAGGAGCGGAGGACGAGGAAGCGGGGTGGAGAGGGGAGACGAGCGACACGCCCGTTTTGGGGTGAGCCCCCGAAGGCACCTTGGCCAGATCAGGCAGCAGCTTCCTCTCAAGGCGCTCCTCCCTCGCAGAGCCCCGACATCCCTGCCGAAGCCTGCACTCGGGGCCCACGCGTGGTCGGGACGAAGAGGAAGCGCAGCACCGGCAGACGAGCGCAGGCCCGACCTGCACGCCTTGGTGGCCTCGCTCGGAGGAGCAGCCCATGCCGAAGGGGCTGATTTACCAGCCTCGAACATATCCCTATCCCTAAGATTGACATGCCAGAAAGCGATGACAACCTTAGGGATGCGCCCTCAAAAAATAAGGGAATCCCTAAGATTGGCATCGTGATGAGGAGATGCCCAGCATAGGGATAGGGATATGTTCCAGGCTGGTAAGTGATCGGCACGACCACGCTCTCGGCCTCGGCCTCACCCGACTCGGCCTCCTCCCCGTCGACGTGGCGGGCGGGGGCGGCCAAGAGCGCAGGCCCTACCGTGGCGTTCGCTCCCTCGTGAAGGAGGCGCCCCCCCCTCCCGGCATCCTCCAGGTGCAGGGCCGCTCCGAGCCTGCGCTCTCAGGCGTTGGCGAGCACAGTCCGTGCGCACGATTCCGGAGAGAGCGAAGCGTGAGCTCAATGCCAGCCGAACGATTACACTCCTTGCCGCGCACCTGGCCCGTGTCTGGAAAGCGTGCAAACTGATGTTGGGACGAATTTGGGAGTGTCGCGCGCGGGCCGCTGGCAGGCCGTTCGCCCCGCTCCTGACTCCAGAGCCCAAGCTCCGCAATTCTTGCCATAGCCAGTCCCTGGCAAGACTGCGCGGCCCCGCGAGCATGACTGCGCGGCCCCGACCTGGAGATCAAACCCGTCGACGTACTTCTCTGGCGTCGCGAGGGAGAGGGCTCCGAGGCGGACAACATAAGCTGCCCGCTCCGAGGCGCACAACATAAGATGCCCGCTAAGCGGCGTCCCGGAGCGCAACTGTTCGAGGATGTCTCAGGCGAAACGGCCAATCCCGGCCAACTCAGAAACGAGAGTTGTGAGGATGTCTTAAGCGAAACGGCCTGGGCCATCAAATTTTTGTGAGGATGCCTCTGCTCCCCTTTCCCTCGGCCGGAGTTAGATTCTATCACAACAGCACCCCGTTCAGCAAGCTGTTTGGGGAACAAGCTGCCCGCGCATTCCCTGGCACGTCTAACACAAGCGCTCCTTCTCCCGGCGCGCCGTCGATCGCGGAGGCGCGACGGGCCCCGAGCAGAGTGAGGCCTGCGCTCTCCTTCCGCGGCACGAAGTAGCGAGCGCCACGTGGGCGCCTCTGGAGGAGGCGAGGCCAGGGCTTTTCCCCACCCTCGACCTTCCTGCGCAGAGCTGCGCAGGTCGCCGACCGTCCACCGCGCGCCTGGGGAGAATCCATCGGGGACCAATCCATCGGGGAGAATCAAGCTGTGCGAATCGCTGACAATCAATCGCAGATCGCGGACAATCCACCGTGGCTCAGCTCGGAGACCCGCCCCTCCCTCAGCTGTGCCGACGGACTGCCAGACTCCCAGAAGGCCGCCACGTGCTGCTCTGAGTGGCGCGCCGTGGGTATCCACCTGCACGCAGCTCCAGCCGCAGCGAGCGCACTCGGGAGCTCGGTTCCCGAAGCCCGAGCCGTCCGCGTAGACGACGCCGCCCCATCCGACGACCAATCGCCCCAGAACGCAACTGGCACGGGGTCGGGGACGGGAGTGGGCAAGCCGGGTTCGACAGGATGGCCGATCGCAAGATCAAGCCTGTCCCAGCACACACCGAGTCCCGAAAAACCCTCCTCTCTCCAAAACTCGCGCGCGGCTAAAAGAGCCTCGGAACAATCGGAAAAGGGCTGTTCCTCCTCCTCCTCCTCCTCCTCCTCCTCCTCCTCCTCCTCCTCCTCCCCATGGCAGACGAGGAGGGGGGCACAATCAAAGAGCTCGTGCCCCACGGTGCCACGCGCGGCGCCGCAGGCCCGCCGCGCGGGAGGGGCGACAAGCCCATGGCGATGTTGCCGCCCTCGGGGCCATCGCGCTCCTGACCAGAGCGTTCGCAGGCCGCCGGCCGCCCCGCGTCGGACCCCCCCCCCCTCCTTCCCAAAGCATGCCCTCGAGCACCGGTGCCATAATCGAGACCACCTGGATCGTTGTCGGGATGGTGCTCCGAAGTGCGCTGATGCTGCAAGCGCCCAACGCCAGCTATCAGGACTGCTCGGAATCTCGCGGAAGGGTGGTCAGCAAAGAGTGCGGAGCCCCCAGATCGTCCTGGACAATGGTGGAGTAGACCGTGGACCATCCGACACGCCCGAGAACAATAGAACACTGGACAGCGGACCAAGGGCCCCACGCCACGCAGATCTGGCCAACAAGCGACGCCCTAAGAGCCGCGAAGCCCGAGGGAAAGGATTGATCCCAGGTAGCCCGCACATACTGCATGACGGGCTCAAGCGCGCAATGAAAAATAGGATCGTAAAAAAGCCATCCTTACGACTAGCTAAACATATAACTTGATGTTACTGCTGCCCTCCTTGGCTCCAACAAGGGATGCGGCCTTGTGCCAGAGCTCGCACAAACAAGCATCAGGGACCCGAGAGACTGCCGCTCCATGAGCGACCGAACAAAGCAAGCCAATCCTCCACAAGCCGGCAACTTTGGAACCCACGGCGTTCCGCAGGGAAAAACACTCTGTGCCAGCGCTGCCGAAGCCTTCCAAGCCGCCCCCCCCCCCCATACACCGGCGCCTCCGCCCCGCCCCGGGAAGCCCACGGCCGAGGTTTGCGCATGCGGCGCCGATTTTTCGGCTTGAGCGGGGACGCACCGAGGCGAAACCCTTTGGCTGCCTGGAGCGCTGCAGAGACAAACCCGCTCTTGACGGGCTGGAGGAGAAAACCGAGGGGCTTCACCTCCTCGCAGAAAACAATAGCAGCACGGAACCAATCGCGCACCTCAGCAGACCGCTGGCCCAGCCATTGCAGACTAACGTCGTCGATGATAGACCTCGGGATGCCCGATTCCGAAGACAGCTGGACACGATGGAGTACCCGGTACGTCAGCACTGCAACCAACGCGGCGGCACGAGCGCATCCCGCCAGCACTCCCCGCCAAGAGCAGCAGGCCGGACTGCTGCAGCCGCAAGCACGCAGCTAGAGAGGCTCCGCGATGTAGGCCAGCAGCATCCACAGCAGGCGCAGCGGAAAACAGAGGGCCCTGGCCTCCTCTATCAGCGCCGCCTGCTTCACCAATTTGACACACTTGGAGGCGTCGTAGCGGATGGTCAACGAGTGGCCCCCCAGCAACGTCTCCGTCTCAGCATGTAGATCGTGCTGGAAGGTGGAATCCGAGCTAGTCTTACCAGGACCTGCCGTGCCGAACATCGGCGGGCTGGGATTGGTCGGCCAACTACGCTGCGGACAGGACCTTGCGCATGCGACTCCACACCCGTACCAAGGACTGCACCACCGCGATCACGCGATGACCGTGCACTTCCTTCAGCAGCAGGACGAGCTCATTCAAAATCCGCTGGGAGGGCCAGCACAGCAGCGACGCACACCGTCGAAAGAGCGCAATCAAACCTTCCGAAGCAACGTCAGACAAGAGCGAGAATTGTCCGAGGCGAGATGTGCAGTTGCCCCGAAGCCATGGACCAGGAGAACTTTGCCAGGGCCGCCCTGAACTGATCCACAGATACGTCAGGCAGGTCGTCCCAGGAGGACGCGTCGGAGGGCAACTGCAGCGACTCCAGCTCGTGGATCCTCCAGGTCTCCTGCCAGTCCTCCATAGCACCGCGCGCTGGGGTTAGGTCGGGCGTACAAGGGGTTTTTCGACGAAAAATAAAAGATACCCCAAAAATAGTCCAAAAATAGTCTGGGGACTATTTTCTCAGTATTTTTGACATTTTTGGGGTATTTTGGGGGTATTTTTTATTTTTCGTCGAAAATCCCCCTGTAGGGGGACAAGCCCGACATAAGGCCAGGGCGGAAGGGGAAGCGCCCGATCTGGCTCCGGTGACCTCCTGCAGCGCTCTGGCCCTGGAGGCCCAGGCCCAGTGCGCGCCGCGAGCTCCATGCAGGAATGCATCGTGGGCCCACTCCAACCACTTGGCCTGATTTTATGGATGCCATGACAATGGACACTCTAACAATCCTATCATTGGATTAAACATGTGGTCAAAATGCGTAAAACCTGTTCTAAAAATGTTTCAAACGTTTTTACATGTTAAAAACATCCCTGTCCTGATTTTGTGGATGCCATGACAATGGACACTCTAACAATCCTATCACTGGATTAAACATGCGTTCAACATGTATAAAACATGCTCTAATAATGTTTCAAACATGTGTTTACATATAAAAACATGTTTGACACATGGTTTAGACATCTGTGAATTATTTGGCAGCTTGCTCGAGGCACCTGGCAGGTGCTCGAGGCACCTGCCAGGTGCCTCGAGCCCACTATCTTGTCACTAAACAAGCGCGTTCCACTACTCGCAAAGTAACTTCTCGCAAATGGTCTGGATTCGCCATGGAGGATCTACGAGAAATTACATCGAGGCAGACCTTTGTTCTTCGGACGTTTGCGAGTGGGCACTTTGCAAGCAGTGGCACGCGCTCGGTGAGTCAGAGAACCTCGCGAGCGCATCGAGCACCCTGGAGCTACCGCGGTGCTGGGCGGCAGAGCCAGGCCACTTCACGCAGCGCAGCCGCCTCCGGAGGGAGGCCCGCGTGGCCATCAGATGCGGTGCCTCAGAACTTGTTTGGTCTCCGCTCGCTCTTGGGAGCCTTGGTCTTCGGAGCTTGTGACCTCACCGCTCGCTCCTGGGGGCCTTGGAGTTCAGAGCTTGCCACGTCGGTGTGAATTCTGGGGAGCCCTTGGTGTTACGAGCTTTTTGCGTCACCGCTCGCTCTGGGGAGTTTTCATGGGCTCCCACGAGGGTGCCAAGGGTCACCCGACAGGCCCAGCGCCCTGCGCAAGCCCAGGCATGCGCAGCGGCGTCGACCCCGCAGCGCTTCTCGGGCGGGACCCGCTGCAGCTCGACCCGCTGCAGCGTCGACCCCGCAGCGCCTCTCAGCGGGACCCAACGCCTGCCCGGCCTCCGTACAGTCGGGGCGTTGACCTAAGGAACCCTAAATAAGGAACGAGGCCCCTGCTTCCCATAAGTTCAACCTCGATTTCCCATGGAAAACCTCAGGAAAACCCGAGGCAAACTGTGAAACATTCACGGAGCACCGAGCCCCTCCCCAACGAAAAGGGTTCCTTCTTCGGCGCCCCGACTGTACCTGCGAAGCCTGCCACAGACCAGATCGAGCCTGCCTGGGAGCTTGGACGTGGCTCAATGGGGGGGTCACAAATGGGGGGGTCAGAAAAGGTCCCCTTTCGTGCCCCTTTCGGGCCCCTCCAGAGCCCCAGGGGGCTCGTTTAGGTACCATTTGGGTACCTTTTCGGACCACACTCGCCGCCCCCCATTTATGACCCCCCCATTACGCGGCGCCCAAGGAGCGCCTTTGTGGAGCGAGGCGCCGTCGGTGGCCTCCCGGATCACGTCCCGGATGAGATGCCGTGGCCCTGGCGGGCGTCCGCATCCCGGCTGAGGGAACGCGGGGAGGCGCCTCGGCTCGCCAAGCACGCGGAGCCAGGAGGAGGAGGAGGAGGAGGAGGAGGAGGACGACGAGGAGAACGAGGAGGAGGAGGAGGAGGAAAGGAGGAAGAGAAGGAGGGAGGGGGAGGAGGAGAAGGAGGAGGAGGAGGAGGAGGAGGAGGAGGAGGGAGGGGGAGGAGGAGGAGGAGGAGGAGGAGGAGGAGGAGGAGGAGGAGGAGGAGGAGGAGGAGGACGAGGAGGTCCTCGTCATCTGGCTTCTGGGTCACAACTCGAGCTTCCAGCGGCCGTTCGGCACGATCCAGGCAGCCCCAGCACGCTCCCTCCGTGAGGCGCAGCTGCCGGAGAGCACCCCGAGGCTGGAAAGCCGCCGAAGACCCGCAAGACGCCACAGGAAAGCCTCGAGCCTCCAGAGCGCACCAGAACGCTGCGAGAGCGCACCCTGGGCATCGCTCGGGCGTCCATTCCCTGTGTTTTTGTCGGTTTCGTGCGTGGTTTTTCCGCCAACTGATCAAGGATGCTCTTCGATGGTCCTCGCCGAAGGAAAAATGCGCACGTCCGAGCGATGCCAAGGCACCAGAACGCTGTGAGACCGTTCGGGACAGGGACGATTTGTCCCGGCCCTGTCCCCATCCGAAGCTGAGGCGGGCCGCCCGCCAACGCGACACACACACACACACACACAGACACACACAGACACACACACAGACACACACAGACACACACACACACACACACACACCGCGCGCGGGCGCGCGCGAGCGCGCGGGAGCGAGCGCGCTCACGGAAACGCCCCTGTGAAGATAGCTTGCGCGCAAACGTTCGCGCAACTGGCCCCGTCTTTCCCCCGCCGCTCCACCTTGAGCTCCACGTTCCCGCCCGGCCCGCCCCAGAGGACCGTGCCCTGGGAGCCCCGGGACAGCACAGGGCCGTTGAGCAGGGCCACCATCTCCACCCCCTGGTCCTCGTCGCGGACCAGCACCAAGACGGCCTCGGGAGACCATCGGCATCGAGGGCCCCGGGGCTTCGGAGGAGGCTCCGAAAGCTTCCCGGAAGGCCAGGAGCCTTCTGAGCCTTCCGAGCCTTCTGAGAAGGCCCGCCCCCCCCCCGCCTTCCCCCCTCCCAAGCGCGCCGCCGAGACCAAGCAGCTGCATGAATGATTCAACTTCCGGAGGTCCGCGGATTGCGGGTGCTGGACACCCGGGTGGCTGCTTGATTTCTGGGTCGCCTGGCTTCGCACATCGCGGAGGACGCGCTGCGCGACGCGCGGCGACCTCGGAGCCCTCGCGCCGCCGCCCCGGAGAGGGGCGGCTCTCGCACCCGAGCCGCGATGCGCGAAGCGCCGTCATCTTCACGGCCCCCTCGGGTGACCTGCGCTCTGGTCTTCTGGGGGTGGGCGTCGCGATGGCCTTGTGGAAATACTGGCCCGGCAGGAAGCTGTTCAGGTCGAATTTCGCGTGTTCGGCCGGCTTGCCCAGAAGCCACTGGGTCGCGGAGGCGCGGAGGAGCGTGCCTGGGCTGGAGACGATGACGACGTCGTCGTCCGAGAATCCCCCCCAAATATGATCACGCTCCTTTATAATTGTTTGACTCATCACGTCAAAGGAACATGCGAAGAAACGCATGTCCTTCGGCACTCACCCAGTGCCACCAAGAATCGGCGACGCTAGACGATCCACACAAACTCCCCCCAACCACACACGCAAAAACAAAAAAGGCGACGAACACCGACATGCCAGCTCACTTTTTGTGAACATTGGCGACGGCAAACCCAACAAACTCTCACGGCACATTGACATTGGGCGCAACGCGACCAGGAAAACGTACAAAGTAAGCATGAAACGCAAGCGCAAACGGCACCTCAATTTCGCGCTGCGGAAACGCGCGGTCAGGAAAACGAGCCAGCCCGCATCCTGCGCTCCAAGGAACGCCTGGAAGCCCCGGAGCAAAACTTGGCGATGAAGAGTCACGAAGACTCCGTGCACTCCCCGAGGAAATGGGAGACGGCGACGCCGAGCTTCGGGGGTCGGGGGGCTACTCACTGGAGTTTCCATTGAGGGAAAAGTGAGCAACACTTCCCCCCCCCCTCCCCCGCAACTCAAAGCTGGCATGCTTACGCATCACCGCTCGGGCACTCAAATTAGGAAGATCCGAAGCCAACACTGCATCTCTGGGGGAGGGGGTGAGAATTCAAACCATGGGTTATCAGAAGAAGAAAAAACGGCATGAGCAGAAACTTTTGGCGTTCCGCGCAGATGTCTTGGATCCGCGCTGACCCCCCTCCCTGGCGCGTGGAGCGCGCCAGGGGGCGGTGCCGCTAGGGGGGTCCCAAGATCGCCAAAAATTTCTGTTTATGGCCTTTTGTTCCGCTTCGAATTCGGGGATGCCAGGATCGCCAACAGTTTATGTTTATGGCTTTTTGTTCCGCTTCGAATTCGGGGATGGGGGGTTCAAGCCATGCGTCGTGTGTGAGTGTCGCTTCACTGTTTCCGACGCCTGCAAATGCTTGTTCCCAGAGCCCCCCCTCGGGTCCATGCTGGCCCCCTCGGGGAGCCGCCGCGCCCGCCCGCGGCGACGACGAAATGACCCAAGAAACACCGGGAAACCTCAAGAAACCACGACGACGAGGACGTTCGACGTCGCCGTCCGTCGGTCCCGATGACGCTGACGATGACGATGACGCGCCAGAGGCCGTCCTAGAGGCCGCGCTGGGCGCTCAGGTACTTCAACGCGGGTCGATCTTTCGAGTGGGCGCGATATCATGATGACTTCGACCCCAGTGGTAACGATGATGACGGTCGCGATAGTGGTGGCGATAATGACGATGACGATGACGATCACCCATCCTGGCCAACTCTTCCCAGATCAAGTCCTGGGCCCCGAGAGCGGCCCCCCGAGGCCAAACTCGACCAGAAGCGATCTGGACATCGAATACCGAGGAACGTCGCCGTGGTCGCCGACGCCGCCGTCGGCGTCCGCGTCGTGGTCGCAGGCGCCATCGTCGTCGTCGTCGCCGACGCCGCCGTCGGCGTCCGCGTCGTGGTCGCGGGCGCCGTCGTCGTCGTCGGTGGCGGCGGCGTCAGCGGCCTCGGCGTCGTGGTCGTGGCCGTCGTGGTCGTCGCAGTCGTGGTCTCGTGGTCGTGGTCTCGTGGTCGTGTCGTAGTCGTCGTGATCGTCGTGTCGTGGTCGATGTCGTGGTCATGATCGTGGTCGTGGTCGTCGTCGTCGTCGTCGCCGCCGCCGCCGCCGTCGTCGTCGTCGTCGCCGCTGTCGCCGCCGCCGCTGCCGTCGTCGACGTCGTCGTCGTCGTCGTCATCGTCGTCGCCGTCGTCGTCGACGACGTCGTCGTCGGGGGCGCCTGACTCCAGGAGGTTCAGGGTGCTGGGGCGCAGGGCCGCCCGTGCCTCGGAGGTGGTCGGCGTGCCGGTGTTGTACCTGCTCGGGATCAGGCACCTGAGCAGCAACGTCGTCGTCGTCGTGGTCATCGTGGTCTCCGTCGCCGTCGCCGCCGTCGTCGTCGTGGTCGTCGTGGTCGTCGCGGTCGTCGTGGTCGTCGTAGTCATCGTCGTCGTGGTCGTCGTCATCGTCGTCGTGGTCGTCGTCATCGCCGTCGTCGCCGCCGCCGCCGTCGCCGTCAACGTCGTCGTCGCCCGAGGATCGAGGATCGAGGCCGTGCTCAGCGTCGACGTGTTTTAACTGCTTGGGATCAGGCACCTGCCGAGAGGAGGGGTGGAGGAAGAGGAGGAGGAGGAGGAGGAGAGAATGAGGAGGAGGAGGAGGAGGAGGAGGAGGAGGAGGAGGAAGAGGAGGAGCAGGAAGAGGAGAAACATTTCGATTCCGATTTCGGCACCGAAAAGATGTTCCTCGATTTCGGCGCCTTCCCCACGAGGAGAAGGCGGTGGAGCAGAGGAGAAGGATGAGGCCCCTCGGGGGGTCTGGAATCCTCCAGTCTAGGGACCTCGGCGGCGAAGAGAGAGAGCGAGAGAGAGAGAGAGTGGTCTTACTCACGAGGAGGAGGCGGCGGAGCAGAGGAGGAGGCGGAGGCGGAGGCGGAGGCGGAGGAGGAGGAGGAGGAGGAGGAGGAGGAAGAGGAGGGCTCAGACAACTCGGCCACGCACAGAGGAGGCGGAGGAGGAGGAAGAGGAGGAGAGAGGGAGGAGGAGGAAGAAGAGGACGAGGCTCGGGGTGGATCTGGAAGCCTCTGGTCCAGGGACGAGATAGGGGGCCCTGCACGCGGAGGTACAGAGCTCCTGCACGGCGGCCTGCGCAAGCCCTCCGCGGCACACCGTGCGGGAACCAGGGCGCCCGCGTACGGCCATTCGTGGGCAGCGTGCGCAGCAGTGTCCGCGCAATCGATCCTGCGCTCCCCCGAACAACTCGTCTATATATTGAGCAGGGACCGGCCGTCCTGGCACTCCTATAGTCCTACCACGAAATGTCCTCAGAACCCAAAATGTTCTAATAATTACCCCAGTGCGACCCTACCGAGAAGTTGGAGCCCCTAGGAAAGCAGCATTGGTTGCTATGCTATGCTATGCTATGCCATGCTATGCTGCGCTATGCTGTGCTATGCTGTGCTATGCTATGCTATGCTATGCTGCGCTATGTTATGCTATGATGTGCTATGCTATGCTATGCTATGCTATGCTATGTCATGCTGCGCTTTGTTATGATAATGATATGGTATGTTATGATATGCTGCGCTATGCTATGCTATGATATGCTGCGCTATGCTATGATATGTTATGAGTGGCTATGCTATGCTATGCTATGCTGCGCTATGCTATGCTAATGCAGCGCTGCGCTATGCTAAGCTAAGCTAACCCTCTAGGCAGAGCCTAGGTAGGGAATTACACCCATGCTATACTGTGCTACGCTGTGCTATGCTACACTATGCTATGCTATGCTGTGCTCTGCTATGCTAAAGCTCAGCGAAGCTAAGATGAAGGTAAGCTAAGCTAAGATAAAGCTGAGCTAAGATGAAGCTAAGCTAAGCTAAGATGAAATGCAGCGCTAAGCTAAGGGGACGTAACTGGGGGAACCGCGGGGCGGATACTGGGGGAACCGCCCAGGGCGGTGTGCACTGCCCGACCCCTTTAAGAAAGAGAGTAAGAACCCTCTTGGCAGAGCCTAGGTCCTAGGTAGGGAATAAAGAGCAATGTTCTCGGAACATAAACCCGATGTGATAAAACAACACAGATTCCGCCAGAAATGTTCTGAGAACATTTCGTGGAAACCACAAAAGGTTCTTAGAACATTGTTTGGTGGGGCTATAGGCGAGCCAGGACGCTTCGCCACTGCTTGAATATGACGTACGGCAGGTGCGTATCGTATCGACCCCGGCGCTGGTTCCGGACACCGCGGGGATCGTTCACCCTTGAACGACTCGTCTGTGAGGGTCTTCTGTACAACATACATACACGGCAGGTGCGCATTGTGTCGACCCCGTCGCTGGCTCCTGACACCGCGGAGATCGTTCAAATTTGAACGATCGGCCGTCTCCGGAACGTCCGATCGTCCAACATCGACATATTCTGGGTCGCCGGCGGCGTTCAACGTTGAACGCTGGCGTCGGGGTCGCCGCCGATCAGCACGACGTGAGCCTTCCGTGGACACACATGGTTTCTGAGGCTGGTGGGGGAATTGCGCGATCCAAGGCTGGTGGCGCGCGGTCTCTGGTCGTTGCTCGGGGTCTCTGTTGTCCAGTGTGGTTTCCGTCTACGATCTACCACGTATGGTTGTAAATCATACATTATACAGCACAGCGCGGTATCATATATTATGCACAGTACGGTTCAGCATTTCTGCACTGCCCGTGGCATTATAAAAAAGCTGATTGGGGTCTACTGCCGCCAAAAGGTGTCATGTTCTTTCCGTCGCTCACCTGGTGATCCAGCGGCGCAGTACCTCGTCCGTGTGGGCGCTTTCTCTCGTGGCCTTGAACTCCGCCAGCCGCTCGGCGAACGCCGGTCCCAGCTGCCCGTACAGCCTCTCCCACATCTCCAGCCCGTCGCCGACGTCGGAGGCGGTGAAGCGCTGCCCCTCTTTGGCGCCCTGGATCCTTGTCCTGTCTGAGGGGCAACGTTAGCGGGGGACCGGCTCAGGGGAGCAAACAACCGAGCTGGAAGCAACGATACACCGCCGATAGGTCGGCGATGGGCCCCCGCTGGAGAATCCGAAAGTTCCCGGGCGGGGCGGACCATCGGGCCCCTATCGGCGGGCAGTGGGCGAGTCGGGGCCGATGCATCCCCCCCGGAGCCCATCCCCTCCCCCCCTCACCCTGCCCCTGAATGTCGGGTCGGTTGAAAGGGGGGGGGGCGCAGCACAAGGGGGCCAGCGGGTCAGCGACTCAGCCCACGTGAGGAACTGCCGTTGCCGCCGCCGCCGCCGCATCAGACAGCATCACCGCGCCGCCGCCGCCGCCGCCTTTTGTCGTCGCCGTCATCGTTGCCTCTGACTTTCGGGGCGGTTGAAGGGGGGGCGTAGCAAAAGGGGTCAGCGAATCCTCGGTGGCAACTCGTGGGAGCCTCCCGTACCATCTTGTCGGCTCTTGCGAGTCGACACCAGTCGACGCTAACTCGACGCTGGTCGACGCTAAATCGACGTTCATCGACACTAACCCATGCTAAATCGGCGCTACCTCATCGACTCCCAGACGCCAATTGACGCCAAAGAAGGAATCAAGAGGGCATACCAGACTCCCATGATTTGCTGCCGAAGGGGCGTAGCAAAAGGTGGGCGGCGAATCAGCTCGCAGTGTTGGAGACCTGGACATGGGCACCAACACCAACGCAGGAGGGTTGGCTCCACAGGGGGAAGATGATCCCGACCTTGGTGTTGGTGGTAATGTTTCGGTCACCTTGGAAGCCAGAATATTACCACCATCACCGCGATCGGGATCTTCTTCCCTCGGTGGAAGCACACCGCCGATATTGGCGTTGGCGTCAACCTCTAGGCCTGCAGTAGTGAACTGACTTTCTCCAGGCGTCGCCCAGCGCCAGAGGCGCCCCTGCGTCGAGGAAACGGCGCGTGCCGGCAGGGCCCAAACCGGCTGCACGCCGCAGATCGCGACATGCCGACCGTCCTGGCATCCCTACGGGCCCACCACGAAATCTTCGTACAGAGCCAAATCCGCCGATCCGGCGTGTGAGTTTAAGAAAGCTACAACCTGAGCTTCAGCTCAGCTGGGGGGGGGCCAGGGTGGCTCTGCCGGGGTAGGGGGGGAGGGAGGGGGGGGGGTTCATCGGGTCCACGCTTTCTTCCCCCCCCCCAAGAATCCCAAACCGCCCGAAGACGGGCCAAAAGGGGCCCAGGAGGCTGGCGTGTGAGTTTAAGAAAACTAGAACTTGAGCTTCTGCTCAACTGGGTGGGGGCCGGGGTGGCTCTGCCAGGGTAGGGGGGGAGGGGGGGGGTCATCGGGTCCTTTCCCCCCCCCCAGGGAATCCCAAACCGCCCCAAGACGGGCCAAAAGGGGCCCAGGTGGCCACCAAGACGGTCCAGGAGGCGCCCGAAGCGGCCCAAGAGCGCTCCTGGACGCCCAAGATGGCCTGAAGACGGCCCAAGAGGCCTCCGAGACGCCTCAAGGAGATCCCAAGAGGGTCCCAAGAGGGTACAAAAATAAAGTTGCTAATAAGTTTTGAAGCATTTTAGCATTATCGCCTTTTCCGTCTTAGAAGCGCCGAAGACAGTCCAAGAGGCCGCCAAGATCGCCCCAAGACAGCCCAAGAGGCCCCCAAGAGGAGCCAAGACGGTCCAAGAGGGCCCCAATATAGCCCTGGAGGCCCCCCAAGACGACCCCGAGAGGCCCCCAAGATGGCCTCAAGAGGGTGAACCCGAACGGACCCTTCTAGTCCTCCACCCCAAGATAACCCCAAGAGCCCCCAAGATGCCCCCGAGGCGCCCCCAAGGGGCCCCCAGAGGCCCCCGAAAGGTCCCCAAGAGGCCCCCGAGAGGACCCCGAGAGGCCCCCAAGAGGTCCCACAGGCCCCCAAGAAGCCCCAAGAACCAAGAGGCCCCAATAGGTGCTCACTCGCGTGCTGCCAGGCCAGAGGTGCACGGCCTGACTTCGTATTGCTCGGAAGCGAAAGTGATGAACAAAGAACCTTCCACCCGTCGCCGTCACCAGTCGTCGGCCGTCGGCAGCCGTTCGCCGTCAGTCGTCGTCGTCGTCGTCGTCGTCGTCGTCGTCGTCGTCGTCGTCGTCGTCGTCGTCGTCGTCATCAACTCCTTCGTTGGTCGTCGTCGTAATTATCCCGCTCGTCGACTGTTGGTCGTCCGTTGTCGTCGTCAACGTCCATTTCAACAACAATAGCATCAGGAGCGCCCCGGATCGGCGGCACTGGCCGGAGGCCACTACAATAATATTCTAAGGGTCAAGGCAGTGCTCTTAGAGCATGAAGCCGACGTATTACAAGCTAAGTCCAGACGGAGTAAGCCCAGACGGAGACCGAGCACTCCGCATGGACTGACTCCGTATGGATTTGGCCTCCTACCAGGAGAGACCAAGTCCAAACACTGGAAGGCCAGATGGAGACCGAGCACTCCGTATGGACTTACTCCGTAAGGACTTAGCCTCCGCCGAGCCCCGGGGAGGAACATGGGGGTCCAACGCAAGAGCAGACAATCACTAGGTCACCTGACCTCGCACATCGCGCCCCGCGATGCGCGACGCGCGGCTGCCTTGGCGCCCTCGCACCGCCCCCCTGGGGAGTGGCAGCTCGCCAACCAAAGCCGCGGTGCGCGAAGCTCGAACACCTTCGCACCCTTGGGGGTGACCAGCCATCCGTGCGAACTCCTGGAAATCTACAGCTGCGTGGATACAGCGGGGGCTCGGCCACAGGAAACCTCCGCAAGAAACCCGACCCTGAAATCCGCGATCTGTTCTGTGAAAAATCCACATGTGTCGATCGAAAAATGTCCACGGCGTACCTTTTCCTGTGCATGCTCCTCGGCACCGCCTGCACCCCGGGCCCCGCCCTCTCCGGCCGCCTGAGGCCCCGCCCGCCTGTGCCCTGTCTCCCCAATTAGAGCTGTGCGTAGCCCGCCTAGCTTTTAGCGGAAGAGGTTCGCTCTCGCCCCGCCGACCAAAAAATGTGTCGATCGAAAATCGTCAAGATCTGATTGGGAGCCCCTCGAAATCCAAGAAACCCGGGGCACCCTGGCAGAATCCAACTGGCTTCTTGGCACGCGCCCCCACTGTACTATCCAACGGCGGGTGGCGGGCGCAGGCCCCGACACCCCGCTGCCCAGCACCCTCGGGGCGGCTGTGGCTGCCGCGAGGAGGACGCCGCCCTGGCGTGAGGGTGCGGAGGGGTCCAGCGCCGGCCCGAGAGATAGAGGGCAGTTTTTAATACATGGGATTAAAAACAAAAAAAACATAGGATTTGTAATACATTATTGATTCATGGATAAATATATGCATGACATCACCGTTGTTTTTAATGCTAAACCCTTGCATTTCTAATACATGACCCGCACGCGGAGCATGTATAGGCCGTAGCCATTTTGGCTCAAGCCATTTTGGCTCAAGCCATTTTGGCTCAAGCGGTTGCACGCCCTTCGCTTCGGTCGTCCGCGATGGCTGGAGCTCGACGGGCCAGAGGAGCTCTCGCGCCCGCTGCGGCGGCTGCCCTTGTGGAGGCGGCCGCGCGGTGCGATTCGTGCCAACGCGCCGCGGCGCACGGCTGCGGCCGTGGCCCGCTCGGCAGTCTCGGCGGCGCTCTTCGCGCTGTCGGGGCCTGCCGAACCGGCGGCTCCGGAGGTCAAGGAGGACTTCAAGGACAAGCCGAAGACGACGGAGGCGAAGCTGGAGCGGAGGCGGCGGCGCCGCCGCCGCCTGGCGGAGAGGCGCGCTGCTGGGCGCGCTGGGCTGCCTGCCGCTGATGTCGGAGTCGGACGACGCGATGTCGTTGGACGACGAGTGGGCCGACGCGCTGCCGCCGCGGGTGGCGCGCAGGAGGCAGCGGCGGCCCGCGCCCGACCACACCGCGGTGGAGGGCGCTGCTGACGCTGCTGGCGCGGCCCCTGCTCCTGCCGCTGGCGGTGCTGGCGGCGTTCCTGGAGCAGGTGCAGGTGCAGGAGTTGCGGGGCTGGGCGCGGCGGCGGTGCCTGGTGCGCCTGGCGGGGCTGCTGCTGCAGCCGCCGACGCCATGTGCGACGAGGAGGCCGACGCGAGGAGGGCCCTCATGCTGAGGGCGGAGGCGATCGTCAGCGGACGCTTGTGAACGTCTTCGGGGTGTCGGTCATGTTCGCGCGCACGGCGTGGGTTCGGCGGCACCCCCTTGTATATAGCCGCCCGCTAGGTGCGTCCACGTCGTGCTGGTCGTCGTGGTCCACTGTAACGTCTTTCATCTGAGCCCTCGGGCCAGCTTGCAGCGTTGCCGGCCACCGCTGCTCGAGACCGAGGCCGTGAATAGTTGAGCTCAAAAAAAAAGCGGAGCATGTATAAAGAACGGCACTGTAGGCGCGTACCGTTCTCGGGGGGAGCCAACAGATACCTGGGTCACCCACCTTCGCGCGGGCGGGTTCACCTGCTTCACGGACCTCTCCCAGGGTGCGTTCTGAGCAGAAGCTCAAGGAGAATCCAGCCGTGGCGACGAGGGATCTCCAGAACGAGGAGCGGTATCGGTGTCCTAGGTCACCCAGCGATGCGCCCAGCGATGCGTGGCTATCTTCGCGCCCTCGCGCCGCCGCCCTGGAGAAGGGCACCTCTCTCCAGCCCAAGCCGCGATGCGCGACGCGCAACTACGTCCCCTCCCCATGCGGGTGACCTATAGGATGCCGACACCGATACCCCCTGCGACCTCTCCCAGGGTGCGCTCCGACCGAGACTTGGAGGCGAATCGATGACCAGCCTCGAACTGATCCCTATCCCTAAGATCGGCAAGCCCAAGGCGATCACAATCGTAGGGATGTGTTCTCAAAAACTGAGGGAATCCTTAAGATCCTCACCGAGGTCACGTGATGCCAACCATAGGGGTAGGGATATGTTTCAAGCTGGTAAATCCAGCCATCGCGACAAAGTCCACGAGGAGGTCCCCGAAGGCGAACACGAGGACGGGTATCGTCGATATCTTCATTGTCAAGTTCATCCTTTTCAAGTTCATCCTGACAACTGTCTCATCCAGGATCGGTTCCCGATGACTTCTGACGCCCCCAGAGAAACGGCCTGCACGGCGACGAAAACTAGGAACAAACTCGATTCTCGCTACAGTAGGAGCTCGACCACCAGAAACCCTCCAGAGGAAACCTAACCCTGAGACCCCAGGATGCCGATTGATTCTGGGTAATTATGGGGACGTCACGTTCTCCATCGAAGAGCCATCGAAACCCAATAAACCCAGAGCACACTGGAGGCAAGCAGGGTGTTTGGAAGAAGAGAAACTATGTAAACATTAAACGTTTCGCGCTCCATGCGGATTTCTTGGATCCGCGCGGAGCGCGAAAAGCTTCTGCTTCTGGCGTTATTATTATTCTTGGAGTCTTTATTGGCTCGGGCGGTTGGTAATGGGGGGTGACCCGAATGAATGGGGGGCCACTCGGGTCACCCCCCATTACCACTCGCCCGATTGGCATGGGCTTCCACTGCAGACCGGTCCCTGGATTCCACCCCTGAATCCACCTCTGGCCAGCGCTGCTCGAGCGGCGCCCAAAGCCGTGGCGGCGAGGACCCCCCGAGCAACGCTATAAGCCATTCCCGCAGCGACAGAGCCGACGTATCGCGCCCTCCCGACTCCTGGTTAACTTTCGCGTAGGGGATCGACTGTAGAATTGACTTACAGTCGGCCCGTATCAGAATGCGCGATAAGGATGCAAGGGCCTTGGACGCCCATTTCGAAGCTTTTCGAGATGGGCCCAGCCAACGAAACTTGCCAAGGATGGACCGAGGAAGCAAGGATGCAAGGGTACTCTTGGGAAGGTTGTCCATCCTTACCATGCGGGTTGACTGAACCCCAAAAAGTTATTTCCCCGCCGAATCTGCGAACAAATGCGTATAATGTCCCGTAAAATCTACGCAAGTTCTACGCGTTTCTTCTTGCATGTTCGGCGGGGAAATTAATTCTGTAGCACATCAATTCTATGGTTGATCCCCTCCTACTCCAATCTTCGCGCCCTCGCGCCACCGCCCTGGAGAAGGGTGCCTCTCCGACCCGAGCCGCGGTGCGCGAAGCGCGATGATCTCCGCGCCACTGGGAGTGACCCATGTGCACCCGAGGGTACCTGCCAATACGCTTCCCTGAGCGGCCAGACGGTACCTGCGAAAGCCTCCCGATCTGCCGCTTGCACCTGAAAAGTTTCTGCAACGCAGCCAGCACCTACCGCGCAGCCAGAAGGTACCTGCAACGCAGCTCGAATATTCGGGTGAGGGGGGCGTCCAAGAGGGGGGGGAGGGTGGGTGGGGGTGGGGGTGGGGGGGGGGGCAAATCATGGCCAGCGGCATGTGCGCGGCCCAGGGGCCAGAGGGGGGGGGGGCCCGGGACGTATTGAAATATGAAGAAGCGCCATGAAATCTGGGGAGATATCATGGCCCCCACCATGATATCCATCCCCCCCTGTCACCCCCCCCCTCTTTGCCGCCCCCGAAAGGTACCTGCAGTTGAGGCCCGACCACAAGAAACCTGCCACAAGAAACCCAACCCTGAGACCCTAGGACGTCCATTGATTTTTGGCGTAAGAGCATTACGATTTCCATCGCAAAACCATCGAAACCAAATACACCCAGGGCACACTGGAGGCAAGCAGGGTGTTTCTTGGCATGGGACTCCACTGTAGGCCGCCGAGTTGTGTTGGCGTCCGATCCTCAGCGCCGACTGGGCTTCCCGCAGCTCCCCCAGCACCGCGCGCTGGTCCACGGCCGCCATGGTCCAGGTGTCGCCCGCGTCCAGCTCGCGCTGCAGCTGGCCCTCGCCCCAGCCGCAGTAGCCCACTAGCAGCAGGAAATCGTCCTCGCGCAGAAGGCGCCCACACCGAGGGACGGTGAGGGGGGAACCGCCGACGCATCGCCGATGCATCAGCGATAGCCGCCCGACAGCGAACCCGGACGCTCCTCTGGGCGGGATGGGGCTATCGTGTCCCTGTCGGGGTTCACAGGCCGATTGGGGGTCGATGCATCCCCTTGGGGGAGGAGGAGGAGGAGGAGGAGGAGGAGGAGGAGGAGGAGGAGGAGGAGGACGAGGAGGAGGAGGAGGAGGAGAGGGGGGAGGAGAGGAGGAGGAGGAAAGGAGGAGGAGGAGGAGGAGGAGGAGGAGGAGGAGGAAGAGGAGAGGAAGAGAGGAGGAGGAGGAGGAGGGGGAGGAGGCGGAAAGAAAGGAGCAGGAGGAGGAGGAGGAGGAGGAAGTGGAGGAGGAGGAGGAGGAGGAGGAGTGGAGAGGAGGAGGAGGAGGAGGAGGAAAAAGGAGGAGGAGGAGGAGGAGGAGGAGAAGGAGACGTGAGGAGGAGGAGGAAGAGGAGAAGAAGGGAGGAGGAGGAGGAGGAGGAGGAGGAGGAGGAGGAGGAGGAGAGGATGAGGATGAGGATGAGAGGATGAGGATGAGATGATGATGAGATGATGATGATGATGATGAATGATTGATGATGATGATGATGATGATGATGATGATGATGATGATGATGATGATGATGATGATGATGAGAGGAGGAGGAGGAGAAGAAAAGAAGAGAGTTGGAGGAGGAGGAGGAGGAGGAGGAGGAGGGAGGAGGGGGAAGAGAGGAGGAGGAGGAGGAGAAGGAGGAGGAGGAGGAGGAGAAGGAGGAGGGAGGAGGGAGGAGAAGAGGAGGAGGAAAAACAGGAGGAGGAGGACGAAAAAGAGGAGGAAGAGGAGAATAGAGGAGGAGGAGGAGAAAAAACAGAGAGTGGAGGAGGAGGAGGAGGAGGAGGAGGAGGAAGTGGAGGAGGAGGAGGAGAGAGGAGGAGGAGGAGGAGAGGAGAGAGGAGGAGGAGGAGGAGGAAGAGGAGGAGAAGTACGAGAAGAGAGAAGAGAGAAGGAAAAGGAGCAGGAGGGGGAGGAAAGGAGGAGGAGGAGGAGGGGAAGGAAGGAGGAGGAGGAGGAGGAGGAGGAGGAGGAAAGGGAGGATGAGGAGGAAGAGGAGGAGGAGGAGGAGGAGGAGGAGGAGGAGGAGGAGAAGAGAGGAAGGAGAGGAGGGGGGGGGGGAGGAGGAAGAGGAGGAGGAGGAGGAGGAGGAAGCGAGGAGCAGGAGGGGGAGGAAGAGGAGGAGGCTCAGGAGGAGGGAGGAGAAGGAGGAGGCGGAGGATAAAAAGGGAGGAGGAGGAGGAAGATCAGGGATGAGGAGGAAGAACAGGAGGAGGAGAAGGAGGAGGAGGAGGAGAAGGAAAAGGGAGGAAGAGGAGGAGGAGGAAGAGGAGGAGAGGAGAATGAGGAGGAGGATCATAATAATGATGATGATACAATAAAATACAAAAAGGGGTAATAATAAGACTAACAATACTGCCCATACTAATACAACTAGTAGTAATACTAATACTAATACTAATACTAATAATACTAATACGAATACTAATACTAATACTAATAATAATACTGAGAATACTAAAAACACGCATATCAATATTACTAAACAGTAATAATACGAACAATCCTACGAATAATAGGAATAAAAATAACAACAGTAGCATTGTGTTGTTCCCATCCTACTAAAGGACCACATCCCGGAACTAATTTCGAGCACCCAGAGAAGTGTCAAAAGAGTGTCGAAACAGTGTCGGGCGAGTGTCTCCAAGGGCCCGACACGTGAAAACCCTGTTTGGGCGCTCGAAATTCTTTCTGGTGATCAAGGCTAAAGTAGGTTGGAACATCAGCGCAGTAGCAATAATGTGAATAATAACATAATAATAGGGAATACTAATAAGGGAGAAGGAGGAAAAGGAGAAGAATGGAGGCGGCGGAGGAGGAGGAGGAGGAGAAGGAGGAGGAGGAAGTGGAGGAGGAGGAGGAGGAGAAGGGAGGAGCGGGAGGAAGAGGAGAAGGAGGAGGAGGAGGAGGAGGAGGACAACCAAGCCTGCTTAACACACGTCGAGGACCATAAGCCTGTTTTGGCCTCGAAAGGGGCGTCCCCCGTGGCCACGGCGGAACGCAACTCGAGAGACGAGCCAAGGAACCGCTATTGAGCCAACCCTGGGCGAGGAGGATTAGGAAGCCGCATGCGAACCCTGGGCTTCATGGCCCCTCTTCGCCATGAAACCCAACATTAAGACCAATTGCGCCGTATTAAGCAAACATATAACATGATACTGCCCGATCCGGCCGACTTTCGACTGGCGATGTACAAACGCCGATGCGGAATTCAACCTCCAAAGAATTCCATCCTAACTTAAGTGACGTCTGCGAAGTCCTTGTCCGCCTCGCCAGACGTGACCAGCGCCTTCGCGTCCTGTTGCCGCGACGGAAACGGGTTCTCAAAAAGCAGTGTCCTGGATGCACCTGCGGTTTTCTGGGCACCCGCATGTCTATAGGAGCAATGCATGATACATAACAATTCCGAGGTCCGCGCGGATTTCTCGGATCGGAGCGGACCTCAGAAATGTTGTCCATGATCTTGCTCGTTCCCCCGATGTGAACCCGGCATGGGTGCGGATGACAAGAAGTAGGATGCCAAACGACAAAAATCGTCCAGAACCGACAGCGGCCACTGTTGGGGAACCGCCATTTTGTCTCAAATGGACAAAACCCGCGGCGGCACCGACAGCAAATCCTCCCCCAAACAAGCAGGAACTGCTGCGTCTTCGTGCCCAGTCTTTTCGTACCCATGTCGATCGTACCGACCCAATCTCGTCAGTTTGAAGGGGGTTGGGAGACCCAACCAGAAGCTTCACCTAAAGCGAAGCCCATATCCAACTCTGTTGTACCGTAGTAAAGAGAGTCCCAGAAGTAGGAGATCGTCGCGGGAGCGACGGGCCATGTCAAGCGAAAATGTTTTCGGTCTCAATGGCAAATAGTGTGCCTCGCAATGAGGCGCAGTCATGTTGGCGGCCGGCCGCTTGAGAACAAACGGCCGCGAACAAACGCTCGCTATCTCTCGCCTTTTGCCCCAGCCTCCTTTAGAGTCGGGGGAAGGGGGCCAACCGTGAGCCCGCCGCCCGACATACAGTAAACACTGTATACACAAGGTAGGCAGCAACAGGCGGGCTCAACAAGGAAGGCTGGCCCGCACGCAAGCGCCCTTGCAAGCATGATACCTCGCAGGCAAATCACCTTGCAGGCGATTGCTCCTCAGGCGGCCCAGACGATTTTGTCTGGCCAGTCCTGTACGGAGTATGTCGTTTTAAGTCGTGATTGAAGGAGTGCGTTCCTCCCATGACCTGTAAGAGCATCTTTCTGTCGATGCTCCCTTCTGTGTGGCCGTCCACAGTCATGTCGCGAGTGTCGCACCAGTGTACACTATGCACGATACCCCGCTCCATCATCTGTCGTATCCAACTGATGCCCCAAAAGGAGAGCACTCAGTAGGTTTCTTCAGGTCCTTGCTTGACAAGGACTTGAAGACATATTCCGCATCGAGAAACCTTAAGGCTCACGCCGCCCATCTCAAGAATATATTTCAACTGAGTGGGTGCCAACGGCCCTGCGTGGAGTTCGTGCAGAGTGACGATCGCGGGATAGCAGTCATCCAGTTTACGGGCTGCTGCCAGTGTTTCCGCTAAGTAGCTTGGCGGACCTGCAGGCGGTGAGATTTGCAGCGCGCGTCGAAAAAATGGACGACAAGCTTACAAGCAGGCGTGTTTCCACGCCGTAGCAGGTTGGCCCCGCGAATACCATAGCCTTTGACCTCGCCCTCGGCATCTCCACTAAGACGCCGGTAGCCGGAGTCGCTGCGCAGGTCGACCTCGCCCGTTGGAGTCATCGATCGGTGGACGATCTTCTTAGGGCAAGCCCTCGACTTTCTGGTAATCGCGTTCAGTCGTCGCACTTGCACGTTGGTCGGTTCTTGGAAACGCTGTAAGGATGCAACATATACCATCAACCGCACCTGCGCGATTAAGGCGCAAGCCAAAGCGCCTCTGAGGCCGATAAACATGACAGTATCCATATGTGATGCCTTGGCGTCAGCATCTGCGCCAGTGAATTCAGGATGTCGCATAGGACGGAGCTGTTTTAGGTATTCGTCTTGATCAAGTGTAACGTCACCGTCCTCATCCTTTGTGTACCTCACAGTACAATTTGTACATGTGTGTTTGTTGAGAATACATTTGCCAAACTTATCCTCAGCGCACTTGACGCACCTGTCGGTCGCGTCCTCAGTGCCGGCCATATATCATCAACGCGCTTGGCTGTCAGAAGGTTGGAACTTGTCTCGAACTCCTCGTCGTAGTGCGTGGGTCTGAGACCATGCCCTTCTGTGGTCTTTCTGAGCTTCAGGGAGAAGGCTCTTGGTGCGTCCTTGGTGCCGGTGCCTGGTTTGAGGCACTGCAAGCAGTGCCTCGACTCATCGTAGTGCTCAAATCCTGGGGGGGGTCTCAGCGCAGACGCTGATCCAGGCGGCAGAGTAAAGCAAACCACGAGTTCCTTTACACCGGTTGCTTCAGCAAGTTCCTGATAGGTTGGTCCCTTCAGGGAAGCCACGTCGATTTCAAGGGGAGCAATGATCCATTGTTTCTTGCAGGTCGCCGCGCTCGCGAGCAGTCTCTGACTTGACCGCCGCGCCCTCCCTGAGAAGAAGTCTCCACGTCGAAGGCTTCGAGGTCCATAAAACCCCAGAGTACTGGGCGTAGTCAAATTGTCCGTTCCATCTCGCTCTTCTCGTTCTTGGCGAACTTCCACTTTTATACGTGCCTCGAAGTCATGATGTCACCGCGCATCCATAATCTGTGCCCCAAGGTCCACTTCTGGTTCCAAATAATAAGAAGCCGTCCGTCCTCCTGTGGTGGTTCGGCTTCTGGATCTTCTCCGGCGCCCTTGTCTTGCGTCGGTGCGTCAGCCACTTCTTCAAACTTCGCCATGTCTTGGTCGAAGCCCGCTTGAGGTCTAGTGGGCTTCAGGCAGTGGGCGATCCTCGAATGTGCTGGTCCAGTCATATCGTATATGTTTAGGGCAGTGCCTTCGGCTTCGCAAGAATGGAAGCCTGGCTTACGTTGTCATAGTGCACCAGCGCACAGCTGTCGGCATAAGCCACCGCAGGAGCTCGTGGATACTCTTAGCTAACCTGACGGACACTACGTTCTCGGTACGAAAGAAACTCCTGATGAGGCATTGAGGAAGTAAGTGTATGTTAGTAGAGCATCGGCCCGCACTTGCCAGCTGGAGCGTTCCCCTTTTGGCCAGGGTATAGCCAGATGTCATTGCAGGACGCCCCGCAAGTAGACTGGCTATGAATGTCAACACTGTCCGTTGTGCAGTGTTGTCTGGGCCGCTGTCTCGAGCGATCAAAGCTTCGATATATAGTGAATGTCGTGCGTCACCGCATTGGACCTGTGCATCGCGGCGCCCCGCTCTGAAGATGACTTGACCCCTGTCGGGATAATTTCGTACAACCAGGAAAGGGCGGCTCCAGCCTCCCCAATCGTACTCTGTAGTCGGGGGACGATGGTAGTCAACCAAATCTCCTTCGTCATAACAGCGCGGGCCCGCGATAGCGGTCTTGGTCCGTAGTGCGCGATTGATTTTGGCTACTGCAGTGGCTGGAGTGATAGCCTCACTGCTTGCCCGGCGGATAATCTGTTCTCCACAGTGGTCGGCTGTTTCTGTCTGCTGTTCACGGTCCAGAACAGGCAGGTCGGGCAGCATCGATGGCTGCCGCCCAAATAGTGCGTTGCATGGAGAAACCTCACTGTAGAAGGTACAAGCGCTGGCGGGAAATCAAGCTTCATGCAGTAGTCGTCTGAACGCAAGAGGTACGTCTAAGCTGTTGATTTCAGCTTCCATGGCATGAATCAAGTGTGTCGTAGTATGCCGCTTCTGGCTTCAATTGTCGTAGCGCGTTGTCCACGCGCGCGTATCCTCAGTTCAGTGCCTTTTGCTTTAAGGACTGCCTTCGCGGTGTCGTTGTTAAGTGCACCCTCGCCGTCGGAGTAGAGTTCTTTGGCAGGTCCGAATTGCATCCAGCACTGATGATACGCATCTTAGACGATGGCCATAGTTTTATCTGGTATCTCGATTCCAGCACCAATTCGAATGCAACGATCAGTTATTTGGAATTTGGAACAGATTGGGTTCCTGTTTGTAGAACATTAGATCGCATTCGACTTCTTCATTAAACTGGCCAGGTACTGTAGTAGACGGCAAAACGGCATGCCCTGGCTTGTCCCAAGCCCTGAACCCCCGACGTGCATCACAGCGCCCTTTTATCAAGTTCAGCCTGACGTGGTCCAGACCAGCCTTGGTTAAGACGGATCGCATCTTAGGCTCTTCGGCTTGGCCGTAAGTGTAATTTTCGCAACTCGCGCGTTGCCGCGCATGGGTCGAGGCTGCGTAGGTTCTTAAGACTATCTCTACATCGAACCTTGGCCAATCTGGGAGTCTTGGACGAGCCGCCGGGCCACCCGCAGGTGGTGGGGGTAGATATCCCCCTAGCTGCCGACCTCGTCTGGCTACTATTTGTGGTAGTCGTCTGTGATCGTCCGAGCTGCCGGCTCAACTCGAGGCAGGTTGCCCCGCAGCCGGTTCAGCAGCATGTCCGCCTACTGTGATGCCGTGGCTGCTAGCGCCTGCTGTTGGCCCAGCTCTGGAACCAGGCCTCGGCGCTCATAGCCGCGCAAATTGTTGGGCGACTGGTGCCTCGGATGCGGCTGCCGCCGCAGGTGGAAGTGCTGCCGACTCGGCGGGGGCCGGGAGCTCCTGTCCGCGGTTGCCAGGCAGCTTCCACGGTTTGACAAGTTTACATTTGCCAGGCGTAAGTACGTGACCAGGTTTAGCCTGACCATAGTTCTTCTTGCAGCTTGGACACTCCTAATGATAATTCTCCTTATCGTACCACCTACAGTTCTTAGGCTTCCTGTCGTGCGAAAGGGGAATGCATGTTGACGTTGTCCGCGCATGCTGGACATCCCCGTCTTCCTGAGGATGCCCCATGATCGATCCGTCGAGGTGCCGACGGATAGCTGGGTCATCCAAGTCGAATCCTCGTATGTCTGTGACGCGAACGGAAGGTGAATGAGGATGATCATGAAAGGGATCGCGATTCACTAGGAGCATGTCATGTGCAAGCTGACTTGCTTCGACGAAGAGGGACTGCATCTTCGGGGTATACTGGGCTGCCCTAGCCAGTTCCTTGTTGCAAACCGAAGAATGTTGATGATGGCCCGTGCACCGTTTCCTCTCGAAGTGCGTTGGCAAGAGACGGAGGTTGGCCATTCCCTCAATAAGTTTGCGTATAAAAACCATGGGAGTCACGAAGACCGGGAAGACATTGGTCCATGTTAGTTTTGCAGGTGCCCT